AAAAAAAAAAAAAAAAAATATATATATATATATATGTGTGGCCACTAGATGGCAGTGATGAGGCGGAGTTTCATTTGGTAGATGGAAGAGCAGAGAGACAGACAGACCAACTGACCAATCAACAGACCGACCAACAGACCAACAGAGAGAGACAAACCGACAGCTTGAATGACCGACAGACAAACCTTCAGATCAACAGACAGGCCGACGGATCGACAGACCAACAGAGAGAGACAAAACGTCAGACCAAACGACCGACTGACAGAGCAACAGACAGACCGACCAACCGACACAGACTGATTGATCAACAGACCGACAGAGAGACAAACCGTCAGACCAAGCGACCGACTGACAGATCAACACACAGACAGAACGACAGAGATACAGACAGATCAACGGGTCAACAGACAGACAAACCGACCAACCGACACAGACTGACGGATCAACTGACAGAGCAACAGACAGATCAACCAACCGACAGACAGACAAACCTTCAGACCAACCGACACAGATTGACCGATCAACAGACCAACAGAGAGACAAACTGACAGATCAACCGACCGACCGACTGACCTTCAGTCTCTGCTTGGTCTCCTCTGAGACGCTGCCCTTGGGCGACAGCATGGTGGGAGTGGGCGGAGTCACGGTGATTTCTGGAGGGAACTTGGTCTGGACGACGACGGAGGACGGAATGAAGAGCTTTGGCATCGAGGGGGGGACACGGGAGCGGACACGACCCAGGTCTGGAAGAAGAAGAGGACGACGTCTGGACGGATCAGTGTGGACGGACTGCTGGTCTGGAGGGACAGAGACAGGAGAGAGACAGGAGAGACAGGAGGGACGGAGACAAGAGGGAGACAGGAGGGACGGATGGAGACAGGACAGAGACAAGAGGGACGGAGACAAGAGGGAGACAAGAGGGAGACAAGAGGGAGAGAAGAGGGAGAGAGGGACGGATGGACGGAGACAAGACAGAGAGAGGGAGACAAGAGGGACAGACGGACGGAGACAAGAGGGAGACAAGAGGGAGAGAGAGGGAGACAAGAGGGAGACAAGAGAGAGACGAGAGGGACGGACGGAGACAAGAGGGACGGAGACAAGAGGGAGAGAAGAGGGAAACAAGAGGGAGACAAGAGGGAGACAAGAGGGACGGAGACAAGAGGGAGAGAAGAGGGAAACAAGAGGGAGACAAGAGGGAGACAAGAGGGACGGAGACAAGAGGGAGACAAGACAGATAGAGGGAGACAAGAGGGACAGAGAGACAAGAGGGAGAGAGGGAGACAAAAGGGAGACAAGAGGGACGGAGGGAGACAAGAGGGAGAAAAGGAGACAAGAGGGACGGAGGGAGACAAGAGGGATGGAGGGAGAAAATGAGCCTTTTTTTTTTTTTAGACATTTTACAGGGACATAAAAACATGTCCAAAGGCGTCGTCCCCTTC